TCCTGTATTTGAGCGATTCACGGATTGCCCCGCGTTACTAGGTGCATCTGGGGATCTAGCTTGTCAATATCATCCTGCTAGCTCTTTCATTCAAGTAAAAAGGCGTTGTGATCGAAGGGTTGAGGGTTCCGGTTGCCGTATAAAAAGAGTTCCGGTTGGCGTATACTTGGTTTCGGTTGGCGGTCGAGAGTTTAAAGCAGTTAGTTCCTGACTTGAGACGACTCCTTGGGTTTAAGGCAGTTAGTTCCTGATCCAAACGAGTATAAACGGTTCTGGGCATCGTATTGGCGCTTTCCTATTGCTGGATTTCGTCGATAGTACGCTTAAGGACGACCACAAAACAAATCTTTAACAAGATTTCATTCGATCTACCCTACAACCTTGCACACCCGTGTACAGGCTCTGTTCCCAGGGTTCTGCACTCGTATTAGGAGACGGTTATTGGTGGTTGTTGGACGTTTGGAACGGTGTTATACGGTTATCGCTCAGGCAGAACGACTATTTGTTGTTTTGTTGTTGGGTTTTAGTTGTGTAGTGTCGGTCTCATCTCCGGTCTCCCCACCCGTCATCCACCCTCATCAGCGGTAAAACTGTTGGGCGGCCACAGCTGTGCATGCAGGTGGGATGGTGGCGCGAGTGCGGGCTGGAGGCGGGCGGCGGGCGGCGCGAGTGCGGTGGACGGCGCGAGTGCGGTGCAGGGTAGAGGACAGTTAACCGCTGTATATCTGCAAGATGCGGCCAAATTAGTAATATCATTGATTTTTCAGCCGTCCTCATCCGAGATGCCGGATCTCCCGCTTTGATAACAACATAGCCCACCTTTCCATCAACTTTTGATCATATGCCGAGTGTTGCCTGACGCAGGCTGACATCCCCGGGAGTGATCCCCCAGCATCCAACATTTTGCGCAAAACACTTTTGGGCAATAGCCAAAGTGTTGCGCAAAAAATGAGCTGCAGCAGGTGATGCGGGGCCAGTTCGGGTCGTGCTGGCCTCCCGTCGATGGGAGACATGCCCTTCCGTCCAGAGGATTGATGTGCTGCTCTGGTTCGGCGAACTGTCGCCGGTTCGGGCCGCCACCGAGGCGCACCGGTTGTTGGACGACCCGGATGTGGCTCAGTCGTGTTGGTTCTCCGCCGTGGGGGTGACACTTTTGCACCAGCTGTTGACCCGGCCCCAGGATAATCCTCTGTCCCTTGGTGTATTGCATTCGGTCCGGTCCGAGAGTATGCTGATGCAGCCGGCAGATTTCGAGCTGATGGATTACTTGAGGCACTGATTCTCCGACACTCAAATGGTGGAGTTCTACACTTGTGTGAGGAGCGTCTTCAGCGCGGTTGATGACTCGGGGTCGACCCGGCTCGAATTGTGGGAGCAGAGGGCCGCCGTGGATCGTCGCCAGGCCGGTCGCTCACCCGTAGCTGTAAGATTTAGCCTGCATGTCCAGCTACTGCTAGGAAATCACTTGCCTAGGAAGTTATTCCTTCCTAGCCTTAGCTGTACCTAGTGCTTGTAGCCTATTTTCACCTAAGCCAGTTACCTAGCTAGATTGAATCAATGGGATCAATGATGGAATAAGCTGTTATCTGATGCCTATACTTTAATAATAATATATATTAAATACTTTTAACTCCGTTTCTTCAGGCCGAAGACCCGGTATATAATTGGGGAGGCCTGTATCAATAACAATCCTAATTGGGACAAAAATGATGTAGCCTGAGATAGCCATCAAAGTACTGATGGCCATCAAAAATGGTTCCACATTAAAAACAATACTCAGATAGGAGCATTACAATAAGTCACAGAATAACAGATAAAGCATAATAATATATATGATTGAAAAGTGTCACATACATGTCACATATGTCACCATGTGTCACACATGTTACAAACGGTCACATTGGCTCTAATATGAGCTGGTAAAAGGCACCCTAGCTAGGGATAACTTTCTAGGCAATGGATTTCCTAACTGTAGCTAGAGTTTCTAGGCTATATACTACCACTATGGCTCCTTCGAGATCTGGACCGACCACAAGAACCTGGAGTACTTCATGACTGCTAAGAAGCTGAACCGGCGACAGGCACAATGGTCACTCGAACTCAGCGAGTATCACTTTTCCTTGTTACACAAGCCGGGGAAAAGGAACGGGCGGGCCGACACGCTATCCTGAAGAAACGGGTACGACAGCGGGAAGGAGGACAACCAGGACATTGTACTTCTACCGGCGGGGCTATTCAAGGAACACGCGATCCGCGCAATGCTCACATTGGAGCATACAGAAGGTGACGGGTTGATGGATTCGATCCGACGGGCCGAACCGGCCACGGAGGAGAAGGTCCTCAAACTCTGGGAAGAGAGCGAACCGGAAGGCTGGGAATAGCACGACGGCTTCAAGACTTGGAACGGACTCGTGTACGTGCCCCCAGCTATGGGACTGAGACATCGGGTGCTACGACAACACCACGATATCCCTATTGTGGGACACCCGGGATGGCATCGAACCCTCGAGCTCACGACCCGCAACTATTGGTGGCCGTCGATTCAGACCGATTGCCAGGCCTACGTACGGGCCTGCCCGTTGTGCCAATGACCAAAGATATTCCCGAGACGCCCCGTAGGGACTCTGGTCCCGAACAGCATGCCGACTCGGGTATGGCAGCGCATATCAATCAATCTGATCGTTCAATTACCCGGGGGTTCCCCTGACAGGCTGTCACACACTGATTCCAAGATCTCGGAATTCATGTTTGGCCGACTGTGAAGGCAATTCAAGGCTGCAGATGCCAGACAAGACAGTTTTAGGGTCACATTGAATGCCTGGTCAGTATTATATATAGATGTGGGCTGGACCATGCGGAAAGATCTTGATATATGCATCAGAAATTACAGGTTACAATAATGGCTTAGTACTATCGGTTTCTTCAAACCTGTAAATCAGGATGAACATCTATGCACCCAAAGTACTTGCAAGTTTCTTCAAAGCTTTTATACAGCTTCGGGCACTCCTTCTCTATCTAAGGCTCGCTTATTCTTTTGAAACCATGCAGTATTGCTGTAAGGGCAACCCCGGAGGCCTGAGATCAAGGTCCTAGCAGAGGAGGATCCAAAGCGTGAACATTGGTAAGCAAATACAAATGAGGCTGACCTAGCAGGGGAGGATCCAAAGAGAAGAAACTCTAAGGGTCCGCCTGCTAGGGAGCTGACTATATACTGCTTGTCCGTAGCTGCCGCTGTCGGGCACAGAAGGCTTGGGCGGTGTCGCAGGCAAGGTCCCAGGGCGACCGTTGGGAGGACGTTGACGGATCGGTGATTGTGTGCGCGAGATGGAGGGTCAGACCGGAGACGGAACCGGAGTTGGACCGGAATCGGAGGCATCTCCAAGGGGCCGAAAGGGAGGTTCCCCTGACAATTGCATACAAACAAAATAAAAAACCAATTCCAAGATCTTCAGTCACACATGTGATATGTCAGAGGCTTCTGTTCAAAAACCGGTACCAAATGTATGATTTACGGAAATAAGCAGCAGGCTACCTATAAAGAATGGCTACACCTACTACTAGTCCAGGCAGTGTTCATAGGCCGCACCTCTCTGTGTTCTACTCCACCGCCTACTAGTACTGAACGGCGTACTCGAATGACGAACTTACCATGGTCTTGTCCGAGAGTTGGTCGATTTGGTTCGCGCGGGAGATGGGATTGTTCATGATTTCCACACACACAGAACGAGGCTGCAGCCATGACCGTTGTGTCACTAGTATCATCAGCGCCTGGAGGGCTTGCCTGAGCCTATTCAGGTCATTGCGGCTCTTCGCTGGCCTGGCTGGCCACAGAGTGGGCTCTTTGAGGTCATGCATGTGTGTAGAGCGGTGGAGGGGTGCAAGATTTGGAAGTGGAGAACTTGAAGCCTAGGCCACCAGCGCCAGCTTATGTGTCGTGTCCTGTCAGAGTGACGATAGAGTGGGGCCTTGCTTATCCACACCGTTTGTGAGCCACAAGCGCAACAAGGATCGCGCACCAGTTAGCTCTTGGGACGACGATCACATGTGGGCGGAGCCCAAGTGGGCAGTCAAGTATAACGTGTGCGACGGGTTTGACAGGGCGAGCATTTTTGCCCCGCCCGCACATGGGGGAGCAGCATATGAGCTCGACAATAGTTGCCAGCAAGGGTACTCCGCGGAGCAGCCGCGATACGTGTGCCGCCGTCTGGGGGGCCCGGGGGGGCACCGCTTGTGTCCCGGCCCGCTGTCGCTCAGACTGGCCCGGTTGTCGGGCTCGTGGCGCGCAGAGGTTAGCCGCACGCATGTGTGGTTGTCTCGCGTTCCGCAGTCGGTGCCGCGGCCCCCAATCGTAAGCGTCCCGGTGCCGGAGATGCCCGAGATTGCGTACAGCTTTCTGGTGCTGCCAGGGGTCCAGTGCTGCTGGTCCCGGTCACTCCAGGTAAAGGCCTGCCGCCATAGACGCCTGTTAGCATACTGTGCATCTGTTGTCGCAAGGGGAAGCTCCAGGAGCAAGGTTTCCGTGGTGCTGTATGTGGCGGAAAACTGAGAAGCTGAGCGGCCGGGATGTATGGTATAGGTGCCAAGCAGACTGTTCAATCACTTGTTCATGTTGCCATTGTGCGCACCTATTGGCGCAAGCCGAGGCAGCAGGTCAGTAGTGGCAGTGGGAAGAAACCAGGAAACGCTGACAAAGCCTGCCCAGTCGAATCCATGATGACACTAGCAATATGACAAATCAGCTGTGAACCTGCTAAGCATCATTGATTGCTGTTTGCCTGCTGTCCGACACCCGTGGCTGTAGCCTGTTTCAATCATCCCCGGGAACTGCCAGAAAATCCGATTCCATCATCCCTGTGTGTTGCCAGGTCTCTGACAACACTCAAACCCCACCCGTTTCCGTGCTTCCTTGCCGCTGATCTCCGAACTCCGCTTTATCCTGCAGCTTTGATATCATCATTACGACTGATTTGGTCCGAATCATACAATTTTAACATTGTTCTCTACATTCCCTCTGCCATAAATGTTCCCTCTAATATTTCCCGCTCCTCCTCTGCTGCCCAATGACGGACAGCAGCTCCCATTGTTTTGTCCCACTCCTCTCGAAAGCGCACTATAAATTCAGTATGCAGGTACACGTTACGCAGCGCATAAGCTCGGATTCCAGCCGCCGTCGTTCCATCAACGTCTGAACGAACTTCGTCGGCTCGTTTTTGCCATTCTGAAGCCTCCCACTTCAATGATCGCATGACCCGCTTCATCTCCTCTCGCAACAATTCAACCTCCTCGTTCCAGCGTTCCTTCCGTGCACGTGCTTTTGCCCACTCGACACGCATAGCTATGATACCACGTTCAACCGAAAGCAAATGGTCAACAAGCCATAGTTACTCACAGTCATGAAGTTCAACCCCGTCGGCCTGCCCGCCTGCTGCCCAAATCCAGGAAATTGGCGCCGTCTTGGTTTTCTTCTTTTTTGCAGCAGTCTCCTCTCTCGTAGGTCGCGATCCGTCTGCTGTTCGTAAGCTTCTTGCTGCATCTTCGTCCTCTCGATTTCGATACGAGTGTTCAAATGGGCCTTGTCCAATTTTTGAAACTTCGGGAGCGTAACGTTTGCCTTTGAGGTGAACGAGAGCCTCGTAGCCTTCAGTATATTTGGCAGCGGCCTTCGTTACACCTTCTTCCATCCGAGCCATTAGAGTGACGGAGCGCGTTCTTGCACGTTGCCCCACCATGTTTTCCCCGCGAAACCAAATCATGTGTTGCTTCGAATGAAGCCTCCCTCGTAAGGCAGCCAGTGCATCTGCACACTGTCCCCGACGCAATTTCGCTTCGGTCTCAATCAAGTCCGCCATGCTGACTTGTCGACACTCTTCCGCGGTTAACTGTGACGGAAGATAAAGCTTTGCGTTTCCGGTTGCGCGTCCTCCGCGTCCAATTTATACCGCTGCGTCGCGAAGACCCTGAACCCCAGGCATGTAAGTTAGTTGAAGTTTTTTGAAGGTGCGCATTTGTTTGATCAGAGATAGACGTAATTCTTGTATCTGGCTCGCTTGATCTGCTGACTTTTTTGCCTTCAGAGCAGTCCGTATACGACGCCTGGGGATAGTGAATAGAGTGTGTGGAATGAAGACTTTGACATACTGGATGGCCTGAAGCTGCATACCCGCTCTGATGAACGCTGTTATGGTCATTTTACCTTCCAGCAAAGGTTTGATCCGGCTCGTGCATCTTCCACCTCAGCTCGTTTCAACTCTTCACTTATTTCGCGTTCACTAGGCCCGGCTGTCGAGACAGGTCATCAATGCTACAACAGGTATTCAACGTCATGCATACCGAGCTTCCCACCCTGGACTTCAAATGGATTCGTCTGGGTGTTATCCTTATACCAGGCATCCATCATCTTGGCCCATTCACGTCCTTTTTTTTAGGAACGCTGTCGTCCAGCTCCTGGAATTCAATGCCCTGCCTTTGACGCTCTGCTACAGCGACAATCAAACGTCTTGCAAGTGTCCGCCCTTGCAAATAGTGAGCTTAAACTCTCAAAGAAACCTTAACTGACCCATGCTCCTGTTTTTCTCAAAATTAATCAGGTCGATCTTGTCCTCCAGGACATCATGACGGGCGCCTTCTCCCATTTCCTTTGTCGACCAACTTGCGGGATTGAGTAGGCTCCACAAACGCTCGGTGCTTTCCCCATCCGTCTTTCCAACACCCAACAAGTACCTAAGCGCAAACTGAATTCGACATTTGGGGTCATGAGCTTCAGCATGCCAGACCGGCAGTCCGTATTGCAGGCGAATACGGTCCATCCGGTGAATATCTCTTCGATATCCACGCCCGTTGTCTTCATTCGTGCGACGCGCTCAGGAAAGTATACTTGCCAGTGACATACGATGTCGTATGCAAGCAAGACCCACAGAACTTCCTCGTCTGACAGAGTTGATAGCACGGTCCAATCCACGTTTCCATAGCTGGCACAAAGAGTTAGTATCCAAGTTGTTCCTGGCATCAAGCAACTTGCCGTTCTCCACGTTGAAGGTCTCCCATCCCTCGACGACGTACGAGGCCGTGCCGTGCACAGACACAACCAACTACGCCAGAAACTCTCAGGCCAGTGGTCAATTTGGTCTCCTTCTGCAAAAGAGCAGCAAACGCAGCACAAGCCTGGACCTGAAGTATCGCATTAACATGGAATAGATTCGACTAGAGCGCACTGACATCTTTTTCGTCAACGAGCGTTTTGATATGTTCTTTATATGGTCCAGATCGTCACGAAGTATCCCAAGCCATCGGTCAACGCCGGATCCATGCGTTCTCCAGCACGAAGCTTGTTCTTCAGGCGGAAATTGGCATCGAATGCCAACATGAGCTTATACAAGTATCTGCACATTTGTTGGTCAAGAATAGTTTGATTAAATAGCTACTCACGCCTTCGACTCCGGAACCTTGTCCCATCCGGAAGGCAAGTTACGAGAAGCATCTGGGCATGCCCAGCAACGCACAGCCAACGCCCCTGGCGGCGTAGTTACAATTCCATTGGCTTCATGCCCGCGACCTCCACGCTTCATCATTTTAAGATAGCTGTATTGTCGAGCCATTCGACCGAAAGCAACGCGACGATCTGGGACCTTTTCCAGTCCGGTTGAATCCGTCAACTTCTCCAACGTGCGCACATAGTCTTGGACATTGATGTTTTGCGATGGAGCGCAGGAAGCGAAATGTCTCCAAAACGTTGAAGGTTGCACAGGTCGCAGGGTTTGTTGTCGTGGCCGGATACCACGCATTTCGAAGCAATTGTCTGACGGGGTCGAATCCGAACGGATTCACGCAGCCACAGTACTGCACGTCCAAAGTAAAAATGCCATTGACATCGATGACCACCAACGGTCGACGGTTACTGGGGAATGGGCATGGGGCACCGTCATGACCAAGTTGATAACAGCCCGCCAAACCACGAGCTCCATGCTGGATGGGTCCGGCATAAAACAAGGAGGCCTTCGTCCAGAAGTGACCCGTCCATTCCTAAACAAGCTAGGTAAACAAGTAACAAAATCGGTGAAGAAATAAATACCTGCAATTCATGGAGCGGCAATTTCTGATGAGCGGCTTCCACACAGGTCTCACAATGGAGTCCGTCCCCACATTGCTTGCAGCGAAAAAAACGGAGCCCCGTCTCCTCCATATGATTGGCTTGACAATTCACACATTCTTGGCATGCGTTAGGGTTTCCGAGACCGTCTCTTCGTAGCATTTCCTCCAGAAAGAGAGCCGTCAGTGGTTGCCACATTGCCATAGGATCGTCCTAAGGGAATGAGCTTCTGTATAAAGTCGTAGTATCAACCGACCGATGCATAACGTTTTCTCTTCAATGTCGATTCTTCTTCCAGTTGAATCTCCAACGACGACACAGTATCCACCAGCTCTCTTACGTCCTCCAGTTGCGCATCTGGGAATGGCATCCAGTCAGCGAGTTCAGGTTGAGTTTCAATGACCTCTTGATTAAGGCGAGCCTTTTTTTTAGGCGATGGATTTGTCTGCTGGCTCAGCACGCTGTCCATCCAGAGAATAATGAACTTGTAGGTGGTTGAATTCCTCCTCAGCGGCGTCGTCAAAATATGTGTGTCGCACAACGTTGGGGAGTCGAGGCATGCGAAAAGATGGAGGCATCAACTTGATGCGCTGTCCATTTATTTCACGACAATTATTTCTTTTGGTCCATAAGTAATTACAGGCTACTCTGCGTCAACCTTGGCTGGCGCGGTTGGGGGAAGTTCAGGTCGGGTTGATTCCTTGACCTCCCCGTCGGCGCTATGTGAAGATAATGGCAGTCATAGAGACTGCCCGTCTCATCGGACAAGGCCCATCCCGCAGTCCAATCCACATTTTCATAACTGTCCAAAAATGAGGATCGCATTGCTCCCATAAGCCAAGAACTTGCCGCTCTCCAAGTTGAAGGTTTCTTGGTGTTTCGTGGATCTTGTGCAGGACATGCGACTGCGGCTGGTAGATTCGCATCGTTTCAAAGAAGTTGGTCGGAAGGGGGCACCTCGCGGCGTCTGAAGTACAGTGTAAACCGTCACGGCTGGTGGATACAGCTCGCAACGTCCGAGAGTTTCGCGAAAGGGCTTTAAAGTACTGTGTAAACCGTCACGGCTGGTGGATACAGCTCGCAACGTCCGAAAGTTTCGCGAAAGGGCTTTAAAGTGTGTAAACCGTCACGGCTGGTGGATACAGCTCGCCAACAGCTCGCAGTGTCAAGGAACGAACTAACAATCGGAAGGGACCGCTTCCGAGTCGTCACATCGTCATCACGAGTCGTCACATCGTCACCTATCGTCACACCTCATCAGACTTCATCGCACCAAGGTCACGATTCTGCCATTTTCTCAGTCTGGATCGTGTTGCGAAGGTACACGCTGAACACTGTTCGTTTCTCATGTCTGACAGTTGGCTGCAAGCACATTCTCACCGTGCTCAAGTTGTGCGAGCGAGCGAGCGACGACGACATTGAACACTCTCTTCCTTGTTGCTGGATACTCTCTTCCTTCCTCTCTTGTTGCTGGCTTAGACGCTAAGACGTCGGGTCGGGCCGTTTCTCAGATCTCAAGACTAGCTCAGACGCTAAGACGTCGGGTAACAACCATTCATGGCGTCATGCGAAATGTCGACGTCCGGAAATTCATTTGTGCGGCTGCTACCTCTCTCAGCGCTTGATGAGGAGGAGCGACCAAAGGTAACTTAGCTCCCACCAAACCGGTACTTGACGTTAACCTCTGTTATCAAGACCTCCCCCAAACATTATACTGGTCTTGTGCGAAATAAGCCCGCAATTTTTTTCGTGTTCAACGGCGATCGGGCTGTCATTTACTCCATCCCCAGTCAGCGGCAAGCCCCTCCCACTTCCTCGAACAAAACGCTTAACGGCGAGATGGCCAAAACGGCCTGGCTTAATATGGACCTACCTCACTTGTTATTTATGCCTCGTTTCCACATCTTGCACAATACTCTATTGAAGCCGCTGGACTTTCAGATCGGTGCAACCCCGCAAGAGGAGCTTGTTGTCCCGCATTTTCGTGGTGCGCAGCACGTTCGAGTTAGGGGTATGAAAGGTGACTTGCGTGATCAATGGCTCCGACTCGAGGGTTTTTTGCGAAACGACCTTGACTTGGTTAGATCAAAATGTTATGAAAGCGCCAAAGGCTCCGACGGAACTCAAATCTAACGTTCGTCCGTGGCACTCTCTACCATCAACATTCGGGTATACACAACACTTTGACCTTGAATCCCCACAAGATCTACACAAAGCTGTCTTGCAATCTCTCCATGCTTTTCGCCCGCTGCTTGGGGCTATCACATTATTGACTCTAGTTCTCGATGACATTAAAATGCCAGGATGGCGCGAACGCTATATCAAGGAGAGTCAAGTGGATGCGGCACTGTGGGACGAACTAGAAGAAGTCGTTTTCCAGATTGCCGCGGGACCCATTGGAGGTATCTTAGACTTTTCAAGCCCAGCAGCAATCGAGAAAGCTCGGTCTCTGGATTGGCTATTCTCCATGATATTGAAGAATGACATTCGTGTACCCTTGTATTTCTTCTTGAACAGCACCGATCCCGCGTTGTTCAATGCTCTTCCCTCCATGCGATGTTACCACCTTTCTGTCCAATCAGAGCACATACAGAAAGTTCGCAATCTTAGTGGCCAAGATGCAATCATGGAATGGACATTCATCGACAACGCTAGGCGCCGATTTGGAGTATTCCGCAATGCTGATTTCTATGCAACGTGCGCTCAAGCTGAGGAACTGCCAAAGAAGCCGCCGCCGGGAAATGCCGCCCGGTTGATCCGAATAGCGGCCAAAGATTCGGCGAGAGTTATCAAGATTTTTTCCTGCGGCGCACCAGCACAACGGCGATCAATTCCCTGGAGGAGAAGGCACAGCTTAAAAAACGACAAGAGCGTGTCACGAAGATGCAAGGACTGGGTCCGAGTTCGAAGAACACACAGGTTTTCATGTGGAATGCTTATGACGGCTTTTTGATACGCAGACCGATAACACATTCATTTGCTGTCAGTGTGTGGAAAGATTATGAGCCCTATCAACGTGTCTATGATGTGGGCTCGAATCAATGGGACCTCTGTCCTGGAATCAGGACTTGGGAAGAGAGCACAGCTTTGACGACAATCGCAGATGATCCGGCACCGAGGACGAGAACCAGTCAGAACTCTGCTCCGGGCCAAGCAAAAACTCTCGAATCGGGTCAAAGTTCTGATGATCAGTCCGATGACTCCGAGTCTAATTCGGGCCAGCTGGAAATTCCAAACTCTCAACTTGAATCCCATCCGGTGACTTTCGACAGCGAGTCTGTAGCGAATGGTGTCGGGGATGATGTTCAGCTGGAGCCTGACGACAAGCTGGAGCCTGACGACATCGAGTCTCAAGTGAGCGACTTCGAGTCGAACACGGTTGGGATAGCCAGTGTCAGTGATGTTGCCGACGACTCGGATGCCAGTGGTCGACCTGCCTTCCCAAATCTTCCCGTAAATCTTCCGGATAACATGTCGTTGTTGCTGAACGATGGAGGTGGAGCCTCCGCCAATGTCGTCGCTTTCTACGAGTCTGAAAGAATGGACTTTGAGACAACGCAACTGGAGTCTCTGACAAATTGGGATGATTGCGGTGTCGTCTTAGCAGAACGCTTTGGTCATATAGAAAATCAATCCTTCGACGCTCCAGGACCTGAGGTTATCACATCCGAGAACTGTTTAAATGTGCTCGGAGACCTCCGTTCATCGTACCTAGTGTCA